GTAAGCACAATATACGACAAAATGTTGTAAACCAGCCAAGTTTGAAAACATATTTGGTAACATAGCTAAAGATATAAATAACAATTTTTGGATTTTCGTGTGCATAAAGGATTGCAAATTTGTTAATTTGGTCATCATTATAAAAAAATTATATTTTGCATATAAAAGTCATAAAAACAAAAATATAAATGCATTAATAACAAATTTTTGCAAAAAAAATTATTTTCGATCACCAAAAATCAGATAGAATAGACATTCATGGATAAATGTTCCAAATTTCAACCATCAAACATGTAGCTATGTTATCAAATCTTGGTTGGCCTAGAACATGTTTTTCGTAAAAATCGCCAAAAACACAAAAGTGATCCCAAATCATTTAAAATATTTAAACAATGTTTATTTTTATTTCGTCAAATGTAAATATTTATTTAACGAAGAAAGATAGTTCTTTTATATTTTTTTAATTTGAAGTTGAAAACGTTTATAGAAAAAAATTATATTATTTTGAAGTTAGTAAATTTTTATACTTTTTATGCGGAAATATATATTTTTTTAAACACAAGAAAATCTTGTGACGTCAGACTCGCTTTTATAATGACTGAAACACTCGTGCATACTCACAAGAGATATTTACTTTGTTGATTTTTGATGTTTAATATTTAGCTAGACAACTTTTTTCTTTTTCGACAAATTTTTATTCTCACTGTGTAACCAGCATAAAGTGATAAAAACATGGACTGCAAAAATAAAGCACATGCAAATACAATTTTATTTGTGAAAATAGGCCTTGCGAAAATATGCATCGGAGGAAAATCAACAAACAAAAGTTTGTTGAGTTTAAAAATAACCATTTTAAAACATTAAACCACGCTTTACTTAGAAGTTATAACTTTATTATTATTATTATTATTATTGCTATCATTATTATTATTCTTATTATTATTATCATTGTCTACATAATTATCATGTATATTTCATACATAAGTAAAATGACATACTGAATTATATTCTAAGCCTGAATGAACTTTGAACTTTAAAAATGTACCTATTCATATTCAAATTAAAAAGACCTTTATATAAACACTAGCCTATTTTCTACCCCTATCCTGGCCTTTTAGCGCTCCTCCTTCTTCCCTTCCCGGTAGGATTTGAAGCCCCAGTCCGCGCCTGCTCAATTAGGTACTTAGAAATTAAAAAGCTTAAAAAGCAGCGTAAAAAAATTTTGCATTGTTAATTAAACTTGAATGAAAAAAATAATTTCAACAATATTTTCGAGGTTTTTTTAATGTTTACGTTTTTCACAACAATTCAATAACCTTCGACCATATAAACTGATAGAAACGCCTTACCGTAAGTTTAATTCGCAAAATTTTGAAGCCAACATCTTTTAGCGCGTGACGTCACATTTGAGCATTAAACAATTTTTAATATCGGTTTAGGGCGAAAATAGGATAACGTATTTAACACTTTTAAAGTTTTAATATTTGTTATATATATTATTTTGTTTAAATTTTGATTTTCAAATAAAATATAGGTATATAAAGATCATGATTTTATCTTGTACTGCATATAATTGCTCTCAAAGATATATTAAAGGGGTTTCTTTTCATGTGTAAGCACATACAAACCATTCTTTGCTAAGATCCTAACTTATATTTCAAATATAAATAGCATGTTATCTTAATATGCCTATTTTTGTTGGTAGTTTTCTGAAAGATCTGAAATTAAGGAGAAAATGGATACAAGTTATGTAGAGGGATGGTTTTACTCTTAGTAAACTGTCTAAACTCTGTGGTAAACATTTCACTGGTATAAAGGTAGTCTTTAAAGTTCACCAAAGAAACTAAAAAAAGATACAATTTCTTCTATTTTTGATTTCCCAACACTTTTATGAAAAAGTACTTATCCTAGAAAACCACAAAAAAAAAAAAGATAAAAATATTTAAAATAATACTACCAATGATTCAATACAGTAAGTCTAATGTAACTAATCTTTTTGCAATGACATATATTGATTTAAAACTTTTAAATGTCCGGACCCGTAAAATACGGGACTTGGTAAGTCTATACTACACCGGCCATTACTATACTTATTCCTTATTTCAATATTATGTCGACCTTTAAAAGTTATGATTAAAAAAAATTTATGACATAATTTATTTTTAAACGCTTTAAAAAGTTTTAATGGCGGTTTGGATAAAAGTACCCGAAGTTCGTATTCAAAATACTGTGTTAGGGAATTAGTTCGTTCGGTTTTTTTCAAAGAGGATTATTTAAAGGATTTGTTTGTTGTTGAGCAAAGTGTTTGTATTCATTTGACAGTGCCTTTTCTGCTCTACAGAGCTGTGTAATTTATTTTTTAGAATATTTTAAAATTTTCCTATTTTCCACCCTTAGAAATGGAATACCCAGGTGGCAAATATCTGCATTTTTGACACATACTTTTCTTCGCTTTTCATTGCAATCAAAACGCAGGTGAAGCCCCTCGTGACATATGAAACACGTATGGATAAGGTGTCATAGGTGATCGCGCAGTACAGAAATGGTTTTCGAAGTTCAAAACGGCGACTTTGACCTCAAAGATATATCTCGCAGTGGATGACCCACAAAATTCAATGAAGAGGATCTCAAGGCACTTTTGAAGGAAGATGGTGCCAAACAAGTTGTAAACTGAACAAAAAAATGAACTGCAATCATATGACAAACTTCAAACATCTTCACTCAATGGAATTTGCCTAAACACTCGGAGCCTGGGATGCTCAACAAAGTCAGCAAAGAATATTGTTTTCAAATTGCTGCTCAACACCTTGCGCGCCATTGAGCAACACGCGGCTATAAACAGCGTTTTTTGTACCGAATTGTCACGGATAAGAAATAGTGCCTGTATGTCAAAATGAAACAAAAAAAGGAGTGGATGACCCCAAAAGACACGCAGACGCCGAGAATCAAGCAAGATTTCCATCCAAAAAAGACAACAATCTGCATTTGGTAGGACTTAGAAAGCATGATACACTGAGAAATGCTTAAAAGGAACGCAATGATCAACAAGGAGCTCTACATTCCCCAACTACGCAGTGTAAATAAGGCTATACGACTGAAAAGACCTGACTAACAAACCAAGTCACCTTACTCCACAAGAATGTCAGACCCCATATTGCACAAGTTGTCAAAACCGCTCTCCAAGAGCTTGAGTGGGAAGTTCTTCAACATCCACCGTGCTCTCCGGACCTTGCGCCAACAGATTATCACCTTTTTCGCTCCTTGTCGAATCAAATGAGGTATGTTAACTTCAATGGCAAAAAGGACCTTAAAAACTGGCTTAACAATTTCTTCGAAACCAGATCGGGCTATTTTTGGTGGAACGGCATCAACAAATTGGTCGAGGGGTGGGAGGAAGTTGTAAACAATAATGATGAATGCATACCCAGCTAACAAAAAAACGTTCAAGTACGTTCGAAATAACGTTGCTAACGTTCAAGCACGTTCTATAAAAGTTCGTAACGTTCGTTGAACTTCTTGAACGTTTTGTGTTAGCTGGGTAATTGATTAATTTATTGTTATAATTATTGCTTTTTATTTAAAGAAAGCTTTTTAAAAAAACCGAACAAACTTATTCCCTAACCCAATAATATAAAGAATACCCGCCTGAAATGTGTTTATTAATTACAATCGGTATAAAAAACATTTATTATTAGACTTAAAATTATCTGGAATAATGAACTTACCATGACCCGTATAATTAGGGTTATGGTAAATCTATTCCACACCGACCATTTCTATACTTATTCTTTATATAGTCGTTTTATTTCAAAATTTTTTAGTAAGTGGCAGAAAATAAAAATCTGTCAAATCTTTGTTTTGACAGATTTTTTTAACAAATCTTCAATACTTTATAACTTCATATTGTAAAAATTGTAAACTTCTATAAAAAAAAAAACGGGTACCGAGTTTTTTTATAGAAGTTTACTGAGTTTTAATTGAGTTGTTATTAATTTTTTTTCCAGACTATAATTTATTTTCGAAGAAAATAAAAGTTTGAATATAAGATCTTTTTTCCTATAAGAAAAACTGTTGCTTCTTTAGTGTGTGTAATACGCGCAGACTTAACTAATTGCCTAAGCTCATTAATAAGTTCAGTTTTGTCTCCATCGTGACTTATGCGCAAAATATTTCTACCGCTGTTTTGATGTTTATTGAAATTTTAGACTCTTTTAATTCTTATAGTAGATAATATCTTTACATATGTTATTTATATAACAACAATAGAACTTTTAAAAAGTTTAATTTTGTATTTTGGAAATTTGAAAAGAGTTTAAAAAAAGAAATATTTTGCAAGCGATAGGATTTGAACCCTCGCGTTGTACTTCGGAAGCGGAGCAAGCTAACTACTTCGGCCACTACGGCACATTAATCAGCCAACTTTTAACACTATTTAAAAATAGATTTTGCCGCAATGCAATTTTTAAGTAAAAGTAAAACGGTAAAACTCGATATATGTTTTAACTTTACATAATTTGAAGTTTACATATTTGTATAGACTTTTGTTTACATTTTCTTATACAGAAACAGCTGCGACTTTTTCTCGCCATTATTTCGGCTTTAACGGCTGCCGTGAGTTCTGTGCAAACACGCACGCATGAGAAACGGCAGCAAAAGCAGCAGCATTAAATTCGATATTTAAATATTATAGGATAATCGGAAAGACAGAAAAATAGCAATTCTGAACTTCAAAAGTTACGCGTTAAAACCATGCCACTAACAAAATTACAATTGGAATTGCTTTAAATAGATAAAAAAGTTAAGGGCCAAACAAAAAAAAAAATTTTATTTGGGAATAAGAATGACACCTTTTATAAGTTATTATTCCCACTCATTTAGTAGTTTCTTGTTGCAAGTTTAAATTATAATGTAGTTTTTTTTTATTTAAATGAGGAAAAACGACGTATCTTTTAAAAGAGAGTTAAAAATTCTTTTGCAATAGTTAATCAAAAAAACGTAAATTAAATATTATATTTTTAATTTGCAATTTATTATATACCAATATATTGCTTCAAATATTTAACAGCATTTTTTTTTAAATTTGTTAAAATAAGAGACTTCTAAAGTAACTGTTTCCAATGGATTATTAGGTTCTAACTCGCAACATGTTTCAGTTACTAAAATTTTAAACACAAACTCGAACAATTCCTGAACTTGAATATTTTCTTTCGCACTTGTTTCAAAAACAGGACGTTTTCCTTGTGGATCAACAGGAGATTTAAACCTTTGTGTTAACTCAAGTGATTTTTCTATAGCTTCCTCAGGTAAAACAGCTCTTTGGTTCGAATTATCAACAGTTGACGTATTTAATAAGTCAAGTTTTGTTCCAGCTAAAACTATCAAACAATTTTCTGACACTGATGAAAGCAATGGAATAAAGTTTGTATCAATGGCTTCAAAACTTGAACGATCATTCAAACAATAGCAAAGTATTACAGCATGGGCATAGCGACAATAAAAACTGTTAATAGCATTAAACTTTTCTTGTCCCCCAGTGTCCCATACAGCAATGTTTTTTTCGCCCCATTGTTTTAAAAAGTGGCAGCAGCCAATAGTGGATATCGTATTTTCAGAAAAAGTTTTATTCATGTAACGATTAATAAGACATGATTTACCAACTTTTGAGTTTCCAAGAATAACAACTTTCTTGTCTGCTTTTTGCCTTTGATTATTCATTGAAAATACTTCAGCTATTTACTGAGACATAAAAGCTGGGCATTTAGTAATAAAGATTTCAATATTTTTTATTGCAATTTTTATTAGAAGCTTTCATTAAGCAAGGACGTATGAGTAGATAAATGTTTAACCTACTGTTTAAATAAAAACATAGCGCTAGCAAAAACAAATATTGTTTTACGATAGTTTTCAAAGAACAATCGCAAAACAAAAGTGAAAGTTGTGACACGTGAAAATGTTTTTATTTCAAATGACTCGAGTTTCGATCAAAACTGTATGTCATTTGACAAAAGTTGTCAATTTTTAAAATTAAATATTTGATCGAATATTTGATTTTAAAAATTCACAACTTTTCAAACTTGAGCTGTTTGAATTATGGCTGATTAATAATTGGAAACAATGAATTATTTGAGAACAAACAATTCATCTTTTTCAACTTCTTTTAAGTTATATTCTGATTCTGAAAGTTCTAAACTAATTTCATAATCACATATTTTTTCACAAAATTTTAGTTACACACTTTTCTCGTCGAATTTATCCATTTCAACCAGATAAATGATTTATGGACGAGTGAGCAGTACTTCTACGTTTAAACACATTGCACAGTCAGTTGTAAATGTAACATCAAGTTCAAAAAATTTGGTTCCAAATATTTTGAAATTTAGTTGATATCTTTTTGAGTCTCTTTGGCATCATAAATGTCAGTTATTCGAACTGGACCATGATTGATTTCAACTAATTTATTACAATGGATATTAACATTGAAATATCGTATGTTTGCTAGACTTATCCACTTGTCGAGATTAACTCGATTAATGTTTAATCTTAACCGTTACTAAGTTTTAAACTTATAATTTGAATTTGAATTAAAACGACTTTTTGTTCTCTAAAATAAAAAGTTACTAAATCCATTTCTTTTGACAGATTTTAAGGAGGTTTGCATTCTTCATCAGAAATCAGGGCCCACGACACGGGTTTCGAAGTGGAGGTTGGGGGGGGGGGGAGGAGGGGGCATAATCGTCAATTCTTAAAAAAAGTCTTCTGTATCTAGAATTTTCTTATAAAAAAAAATAATCATAAAAAAAAAAAAAAAAAAAAGGAAAAAAAAAAGAAAAAAAAGATTTTTTAGTAAAAAAGTGCGTGTGTGCCCCCTAGCTCCCCTGATGTCGTTGGCCCATATGTCGAATAATTGAAACTGGAACCATTATTTTTTGAGCATTTATCATCAAGATTTGGCATGTTCTTTAATTTTATTCGAATTAACACGAATTTTGTAGTAAATCTTATGTACATTAACATGGGAGGGCACTTTGTACAAAAGCTTCATTTCTTTTTTTCAATTAGTCACAAACCTTCGTAGTATTTTGATTAGACATTATTAATGAGAGCTAAAAAAAATAAATTTTAAATTCTCCAAAATAATGTAGTTAAGTTCATCATAAATCTTGCTGATTTTCTTGATCATAGATCACGAAAGAAACTTAAGTTTAATTCATAGACATCTTTCATATGCTAATATAGCAATCGTTAGTACATGCAACAATCGCTAGTACAAGCAACAATTGCTAGTACTTGCACCAATTACTAGTACACGCAAAAACAAAATTATTCAAACTACAAAGGTTTTTTTTAAATACTACTTCTTTGTGTAAGGTAATATCTACATTTGATACTTATGTTTCAAAATTCAAACAAATATATTTCAAAATTCAAGCAAATCGATAACTTATTATGATAATACATTAACACTTATATAATTCGTCAACACAATAACACGATTATAAATTAAAACATATAAATGTTACCAACTTTTATATTAAAGGTATCACTCACTCATCACGCACATTGATCATGGTAATTGAGTGAAAAACAATATAAGTTTTTTTTTATACTATATTTTTATTAAAAAAGCAATTTAAAGTAAGACACAAAAATATAAAATTATTTTAAAAAATAAATGGAAAAAAAATTTATTCAATTTTAGCAAATTTTATAGTAGTATATTTATAGTAGGTTTTTAGTAAATTATTTGTAGGCGATGTTACTAATGGTGATTTTACTAATGGTGATGTTAATAATGGTGATGTTACTAATGGTGATGTTACTAATGCTGATGTTACTAATACTATTCCTGTTAAAAAAACAGATAAATTGACATATAAAATAGATAAAAACATACTAAATATAAATATAAATAAAACATGCCAAATATAAACAGAGGTTACATTTGATTAGAAAGACATAAAAATGTCAAAAAATGGCTGAAAAAAAAAAGACATACAAACGCCTAAAAAATGAATGAAAAAGTTAATTCGAAACCCGTTTATTTTCATAAAATAAACGGCTTTTATAAATAAAGCATTTATATAAATATTTTGTTGTGATTGACAACCGAATATTATTTTAAAAGATTTACTGGTTGAAAGAATTTTTATAAGAAAACTCTGCAATAAACAATATGATACTAAAAATTTCAATTCTGTCATGTATTATTGGAGAGTAACAAAACCTATAAAAAAGAAAAACTATTATTAATTTTACAACAATTTACTATTAATTTTACAACAATTTACTATTAATTTTACAACAATTTACTATTAATTTTACAACAATTTACTATTAATTTTACAACAATTCACTATTAATTTTACAACAATTTACTATTAATTTTACAACAAGTTACTATTAATTTTACAACAATCAATACAGAACTCAAAAACATTAACTTATGGTTTAGAGCAAAACAACTATTTTAAATTGTAAAAACACCTATTACGTTTTATTTCATAAAACAGTTCAATTAAAAAAATTTTCATAAAAAATTCCAGAGTTATTCATTAATAACATAATAATAAAATGAGAAAAATATGAAAAGCTTTTTAGAGTGCAAATATATGATTATATGATTAGAGTGCAAAAATATAGTTTGTCATGAGAAACCATATTGGGTGCATTGAAGCAAAAATATTATCTATATTTCGCATTTTAGATAAATCTCGCTGATTTTCTTGATCATAGATCACGAAAGAAACTTAAGTTTAATTCATAGACATCTTTCATATGCTAATATAGCAATCGTTAGTACATGCAACAATCGCTAGTACAAGCAACAATTGCTAGTACTTGCACCAATTACTAGTACACGCAAAAACAAAATTATTCAAACTACAAAGGTTTTTTTTTTTTTTTTTTTTTTTTCTTTATTACAATATTTATGATACAAATACAAATGATATAAAAAAGAAAAAAGAAAAAGATAACAAGTCAAGATATCGTTAAGTAATATAGAATAAAAATAATTATAAAGAACGCGGATACTCAAAGAAAACCATCAGGTCTTGTCACAGAGAAACCGCTATTAAACGTTTTTTTTTTTTTTTTTTAATTTTTTGTTTTTTGTTTTCATTCTTTATATTTATTTATTTTTGTTAAATTTCTTTTTATTACAAAATTAATTTTAATAATAAAAGTATATAAAGTTCGTAATATAATATTATAAACATTCAATATTTCAATATAAAAGTTCTAAAACGTAAAAACTAAAACATGTTAAATAATTCACTAAAATAAAACATGTTAAATAATTGCTTGTTGATAAAAAATAAATAAATAAAAAAGAATGTACATTAAATACTAATATAGATGATAGGGATTTTCAAAAATTTAAAAGGAGATTAGTATATTTTCAGTTGAAAAAATGAGTTTTTTAAAATTTTGTTTAAAAGAATCAAAATTACATTCTTGAGAAAAATCTTTAGAAGTATTTAGAACTTTACTATTCCATAAAAATGGTCCGCGAAACGAAATAAAAAATTTTCCAAAATTAATTTGAGAAAATGGTTGTCGAATTAAGTTATCGTTCCTTAGAATATATTTATTTCTATCTTTTTGTAAATACAAGTTACGAAAAGAAACTGGTGATAGGTGGGTCTTGCATTTATACATAAAACAAAGAATATTAAAAACATTCAACTCATATATATTGAGTGCTTTCATATCATATAAAAGAGGCTTGGCGTGAGCAAAACGGTCCTTAAAATTTATAGGGCGTGCTACATGTTTCTGTTGCCGATAGAGAGGTTTAAGTTTACTTTTATAAGTGCTACCCTAAGCAATGTTTGCATAGTTGATATAGCAATGAATTAACGAATAATACAATTGAATTAAGACATTTTTATCAAGAACGTTTCTTATTTTGTATAGTATGCCTATACTCTTTGAAATTTTACTGCACAAGTTGGCAGTGTGGCATGTCCATGTAAGATTTTCATCGATATATACACCTAAAAATCTTGTCACTAAAACTCTATTAATAACTATGTTATCAATAAATAGAAAAGGTAAGTTTATTTATTTATTTATTTGAAAACATCAGAAGGACCCGAAGGCCACTAACACTGAGTATACAAAAAATTTTTTTTTTTTTTTTTACTGAAATGTTAAATTGTATCAAGTGCTGGACAAGTTACAACAAAATTGTATTAACTTGAACAAAGCAGTACAGCAAGACGTTTCTTAAGCATCAAGACAGACGATGCAGACACCACATCCTCCGATAAACTATTCCATACATTAACAATTCGATTAGAAAAGAAACACTTTGTGCTGTTTAAACTACAATGGTGTTTGCACAGTTTAAAGTTATGACCGCGATTATTCAAGTAAGAATTGAGAATAAGAATGTTTGATAGGTCAGTGTCCAGTTTACCGTTAAGAATTTTGTAGCATAAAACTAAATCTTTAAACACTCGTCGATATTCTAATGTGTTAAGCTTTAGTATGGCTAGACGCTTATCATAGGAAACTGACCACAGACCAGCAATTCTTTTAGTGAATAAACGCTGCACTTTCTCAACTTTATTAATCAGGTAAATAGTGTGTAATATAGTGTAAGGTGACCATACTGAAAAGCAATATTCAAGCATAGGTCGTACATAAGTACAGTAGGCTTTAACCATCAGCAATCTATCTCGTGAATAAAAAGATTTTAAAATAAGAAAAGCTCTGGACATAGCTTTATATACGATAAGATTGATATGTTGATTGAATTTGAGATTTCTATCAATGGTAACTCCAAGATCTCTTATACAGTTAACATGGGCAAATTCATGGTTATTTGTGGTGTAAACACGCTGGGCTATG